TAGGCAGGCACGTTAAACAACTCTTTCTTTGATCTCAAGGCTCTTTACTGCTTGACGAAGGTGGGGGGCAACGAGTAAAAACACAGAGCTTACTCATTGTTAAGCGTATGGCGGGTGTAGCTCAGTTGGTTAGAGCGCCAGATTGTGGCTCTGGAAGTCGTGGGTTCAACTCCCATCACTCGCCCCATTTTCTTCTTTTAAACACCACTCTTGAATAAAATTTTAAATGTAAGTGCTTGCATAAATGTCCCAAGAGCACATTATACGTCTCTAAAAATGGAAGCGCTAAGAGAAAAATTTATTCTGTTATCCCTCTGTTAACCCTCCTTTCTTTATTGTTGCTTTTCTTTGATTGTTTCCAGAGAGGTAAAGTTATGCGTGCATTATTCACTTTTTTCAATATCTTAATGCTGCCATTACAGAGCTTTGCAAGCGATTCAGAATATGATGAGCTTTTTGTTGTAAAATCTTTTATTTTAGGATATCAAACCACTTTTGACGAATGGCCTACAGGGTATCATGACTTCTTAGGGAAAAGTTGCCTTTCTTTGATTGTTTCTGATGAATTGCGAGAAAACATATTAAGTCATAAAGATTACTATTCTCTTGGAAAATTGATGGAAGGGCATATGAAAATATTTTTTCATGACTGTAATGGGGCTCACTATATCACCAAAAGAAGTTACTCGTTTATAAAGGTAGCGGCCTGTTTTGATGAAGCGCACCTTATTAGCAACGGAAGGGAATTTCCCTTACTTTTCTTTGATGCTTTGAATCGTGGCCCAATGTGCACACTTTTTTGTGATGGATTTAAGGGAAAAAGAAAAACGATTCGGATGCCAGAAACATACCAAAAATTTAGAGCAGAAGTTATGAAGGAACTAAATTTAAAAAGTAATTATTTTACCTCTTTAATTGATAACAAAACCATGAATGAATATTTCCTAAATGATGAAAATTACTGCCGACTTTATTTTGAAGCGGCATTAAAAGTCGCAAAGAAGAAAAAGGTCAGCCCCAGTCTTAAGTACGAAGAGATAGATATTTTGCATTATGGCGAAAGCAGCTCAACAGACTCCAGTTCATCCTATTCATCAGAGGATGCCTCAATGTCAGATGAAGGCGACTATAGCGAAAGTTAGGATGAGGATTTAGGTTAGGGAATTTCGGAGATAAATACTTTAATTCAGTAAACGCAATAGGTATTGGTAAACACAGTTCCCATCTTCTTCCGTTAAAAACTGATATTTTCCGTGTGCTGCGTATATTTTTTTATGCATTTTGGGATTAGCAATAATTTTTGACAAAATGTCTTCTCCTTTGAATCGTGAGGTAGAGAGTATAGAAACCAGCTCCAAGTTCAAAGAATCTAATGTTCGAAGACCAGGCTTTCCAAAAAGCCTGTATTCTTTTTCGTACTTCCAGTATTTTGATTTTTGACGAAAATCAAATATACTTTCACCTTCTTCAAATATCCTTTGAGACCAATTGATTAACGAAGTTAGCTTTTCATTTGGATCATAAGCTTCTCGATTTTTTATCTTTGATGTTTCTTTCGGATAATCAACATTATTCTTATTACTAGGGGAAGAGTATTTATAAATTAGAGCTAACCCCGAATTACTTTGTGCATAGTGTGCGAACATTAACTGAGCAGCATCATCCTCAAAAACTTTGATATCAGATAAACAAAAAACTCCAACGGAAGAAAAAGCTAAGCTTTCAAGGATAAAACTTTTGTGCTTTTTTAAATATTCTTTTTCTTCTTTGAATATAGAATCTAATATGTTTGGGAGGTCACTCAGGAAAGCGCCCTCATAGCACCCAAGTTTTTTTGTATTTTCAATTAATTTTCTTCGATTGGCACAAGAGTTAACATACTCATTAAAATTTTTAATAGCCTGACCTTGTAAGTCAGGAGATATTTTAGTGGGAGCAATAAAGTGGGCTTCGTTAAAGTCATTGAATTCATAAATCGTTGAAAATTTGACTGTTTTATTCATTAAGGTAGAAATAGTCTTCTCATTCCATGGAACGAATTTAACAAACAGCTTTTCTTTTGCACTGGCCATTTTCTACCCATTATAAATCTATTGTTTTTTCTGAATTTTATCTCAATTTTCTACCAAACAAAAATTGAAAAATAATGGAGAGCTAGAATTAAATCGTTTAATCATAAAGAAAATGAAACATCCTCTCAAAGCGATGGTGGGCACGGCTGGGATTGAACCAGCGACCCCTACGATGTCAACGTAGTGCTCTCCCACTGAGCTACGCGCCCATCACTTATAGGAATCTGAGTCCTGATCAATGTTCAGGAAT